ACATTATTATTACATTTATATATGATTAAATGTAGGCAATTTGTCTCATTTCTTCAAACTTAATTTTTTTTGTAAAAAAAAACCAATGCAAAAATTATTCTTTTAATTATTTTTAATTCTTCTTATTATTATTTTTCTTATATGTACAAACAGAGATTATACAAAAAAGAAAATTTATACGAACATACTTTATATATAATTACATATAAAAAATTTTTTCTCAGAATGTCATTTTTTTATCTCCTTTGATATACAAATGCTTCAGATCACTTTTGTGATTTCTGAGTTCACTTCGTAAATCAAAATATTTTCAAAGTAATATTTACCGCTTAACTTTGATGCGCTGCTATCGGCAGTAGACGCAACCTGATGCCTAACTCGGTAAAGTAGAAAAGTATTGGTTCACCCGGTATATAAGTATCGATTTGGTCTTACCCAGTATAGGTAAACTTATCGACTTGACTCAAGGTAGAAATCAACCTTTCATAGAGCAACTTTGATAAAATAAAGAAAATAATTTTTTTAAGTTATATAGATAATTTAATATACGACGACATAATTAAACAAAATTAACAACTTTAAAAAATATTACATGCATTAAAAACTATTTTCAGCATTAATTTAATTAAAGTTACTCCGCCAGATTACGCCACGGTTACATTAAAGAACAACAAAACAAGATTCTACATATATACATATATTTATATATTAAATTATTGAATCATATTAAATCATAGTTGAATGATTTAAAAATATATATAATTTTAATAATTTTAAAATTTGAATTTAATTTTAATTCTTTAATTTTGAGTAATAAAGTAAAAGATAATATCCTTTCCCCTTTCATAAATAATAAATCAAACTTTAAATTTGCATACATAATAATTGAGAATCATGAAATGCAGATTACGTATCTTGGATACGAAAAGTAGCAAGTCAATAAAGGGAATTTCAGAGTTGATCCGTTTCCATAACGACGGACACAAAGAGTCCAGTAGCGAACAAGAACAGTCCTGAGAAACCTTCTTACAAGAAGCTAGAAACGCGGGGAACGATATCACAATTTCAAAGAAAAATTTCTGCGCAATTAAATTGTGCAAAAAAAATTAACAATGATTACAAGAACGACGGAGCAATGCCGAATGTGCAATCGGGGATTGCAGTCTTACAATATACCCTTCGATACACACGAGAGGAAGGACACCTACACTTTCGTGAAGAGTCCAAGGGCGATATTACACATTCAAAAGAAGTACAGAAATCCCCCAATGTAAGTACAATCAATCACTTTTGATAGCAGATAATAATGTTATGACATAATAATGACATAACGTTATTTGAAGAGAGACTCATCTGAAACTCGAAAAATTGCTTGGCAAACATCGGCAAACTTGTAAATCTCGAATAATTTTCTAAAGTGCTAAATAAAACAATTTGTCTATAAAGAAGAATTAAGGAAATATGCATAATTAAGACTTTATTGTCGTCCTTGTTTAAACATTAAGACTTTTTTGTGATTTCGTTTCTAGGCAGCTTAATTTGTTTCTTTAACGTAATAAAGTGACATAAAGATCGTAATTTCACGATAGTAATAATTGGTAGTCACTTTACGCGATTAATAAAGAATATTTTTTTATATTTATAGTTGCACATAAAATTGTCATGTTGTTGTCGACGCAACAAGTGTACAATATACATATACTTGTAAACCATTTTATCCGTTTACGATCTTGTGCAAATGTATGCCCTAAACATTCTCTGAATTAATGATTCCGAACATTGTAAGTGACAGAAAACACAGATTATGTTCGCTTCTCTACGTAACCGTGGCGGTAAAGCAAGCTCTACATATTTAACACTATGCTAAGCTTACGCGAAAGTGTGAACTTTCAACTTTACAAAAGACGTACACACATATTGACGTCAAAATCTTATTCTACTTCTCGCAAGTTGTTTATTTATAGCTTTTTTTTTACTATTTCTCAATATTTCTCAAATATCAATGTACCAAGAAAAATCCATCTTCTGAAATTTTTCTACCTTACAATTCTCAATAAACTCATTTAAAACAATCTCGTTAAACTAAAAAAGACCGTCATTATATATCGATAGTAATATATATTTTATTAATTTCTCGAATAAAAACTTATAGACAACTTATAGAAAACACTTTTTTTTTTTTCATTAATTTACATATTTCGAGAAAATTATTAGGATTAAGATTTAGAACTAGAAAAAGAGAATATATCAATAACTGGAAAAGCCTAGCACATAGATAATGCAGCAGCCATTTAGTCTATAGATTATGCTTATAGACGACAAAGGGAATGACCGCGGCGGTTGATTTTATCGTTGACTATCGTACACGGAAGAATACAAAATGTGTGATGCTATGTATTCGCTTCACGCGATTTCTACTTCTATCAAAAGAAAATATTTATGCTGTACAGAGTGTACAGCTTAGAAATAGAAACGCCTCTTTCGTGACAGATTGAGGACTTAAAATAACTTTTCTTATTAACAAATTCAACAAAAATTTTTAATGAAAGCCAGGATAAGATTTGCTTTTGTGAAAAATTTTAAATTTCGTAAAACTTTCGGAATTAAGATTTATCATGTGCATTTAATCCTAAATATAATTAATTATCAACTAATTTGTTATTAAATAATATCACTATCAACTGAAAAAATATTAAATTAAACAAAATTACACGACTATTATTCTAGCATAATTCAATATAACAAATTAAGATATCGTTAAATATGTTCGTCATAAAGAACTCAAAAGCAACCCATTTGTACCGTTCTGTAAAATAAAAATGCAATAGTATTATCTGAAATAACGTTTTTCTGGTTGCTCATTGCGCACTATATTTAGCATAAAGCCATTTGCATGTTGCATAATAAATATCCAGCAAGTCTTATTGATTAGGATAAAGAAACGCATGCTTTATATACAGACGAGACATTCAATCATGAATTAATAATAATAATCTCTTACATAAAGCTGTCTTGAACGAGAGAATGTCAATTCTCTTTATAAAATAATTAAGAGATAAATAAGGTATATATCTATATATATGTATATGTACACATACATACATACATACATACATACATATATCATATACCATGTGTTATTAAAGAAATTGTAATATTAAAGAAAATTATTTTCCTAATTTATTCGGATGGATTAAAGAAATTAAAAAAAAAACCGTATAAATTCATATATGTACATGAGTGTCCTACTTATTTTATTGATTTTCTAATGACGAATATCGGCGCCCTAAACACATAATCGCACGCGACGTTTCACGCAAAACGCGAGAAACCAAAGAGAAACTTCTTCAAGGATTTCTGCAGCGTATTAACATTAATACGAAATACAAAAAAAAAATTACAGCTTTCATCGAACTACAATTTAACTTCTTCTAAATAAAAAGATTAACAAACAAATTTTGTATTTACCTGACACAGTCAGCACGGAATAAATCTTTCTTGTCAGAATTATATGAAAAATAGACTGGTGGTTCTATCTAAGAAATTGATGGAACGAGATAACGTTTTAGTACCGTAAGCTACTACCGACGATCGTAAACAGCCGTAGGTCACTATTTCCGATATTATTCGAGTATAGGTTGACCAATCAGACGATTACGCGCTCATGCAAGGACGAGAAAGACTATCCCATTATAACACCTTCTACGAACTTCGAACGAACTTGGACATAAATTTCTACATGTTAAATGTCACTTGTTATTTTCAAATTTCAATTTAGATCAATACTTTCTTGAGATATGTCAAAAACTTTGTTAATAATAGTATATTAATATACCGCAAATCTCTGTATTATCTGTTATATTTTATGATAGAATCTGTAGAATGTATTGGCATTATGCAATCTGTGATTGTGCAAGAATTATGTCTAAAATTGTTTGTACGAATTCTACACGAATTCACTCATGTAGGTCACTATTTCCGGTATTATTAGGGTATAGGTTGACCAATCAAGCGATTACACGAATTCACTCGTGCAGAATTTATACAAACAATTTTTATAGAATCTTTTTGAAGAATAAGCTACTTCAGCCCGCTTCGTTCGCTGAGATTTTACAGTTAGATTAATAAGCGTAATAGGTAAACGTCGGATGGAATATATTTTCGAGCAGCACGAAACCATACTGCTTATCGCAGCGATAAATGCGATTGCGATACTTATGATATAAGAAATACAATGGAGTTGTTTAATTAAAATTCTTCAAAAAGACTGAAAGTAATACAATATATGACAAAGTTGTAATTTACTATAATTTAAAATATATTATTGTAAAAAGTGTTATTACACACGTTTATTACAGAATATATGTTTCATATTCATATTATGTCTGATTATATTCTGAATCTAAATTTTTATGTACGTTATTTGCATAAGTCGTGTGGCAACAAAATGCCTTACTCATCTCATAATTCATTTTCCTACCTACGTCTATCACGCGCACACATGTACACACTTGCATTAGTAAATAGCTACCCCTACAAACCAAAGCAACTAGCAATATACCTTCTCGAAGAATAAGAAACCTCGACGCCAAGGTTACCCGAGCAACTGCAATCTTTTAGATGCAGTAAAAAAACATACATATATATATTTTTATTTTATTAAAAAAAAGAAGAACGAAGGAATAAAGAATGTCGCATGTCTGTATCTGGAACATGAGTGTCGTGTTTTCGCGACAGGCCGACGCGACGCGACGTGATCAAAAGTGCGGTTTCACCTTGAAGTGTTGCCAGGGTTGGAAGTTCCCGGGTAGGTTCCCTAGGCAGGTAAAACCCCGACAATATTCCACCCTTTGTCGGTGGACTTAAGCATGCGCAACGTTCGCAGTGGTCAGCGTTATTGAGTGGCCGGTCGCGGGGTGAAGATATACGTGCAACTTGGCCTATGCGGTCTATATCGGTCGATTCTAAGGACATTGTCCAGTCTCTGAACTCCCCCGAGCCAGTCAGTAATGCCGCGGCTACACTCGACGAACGATCACGACGTTTTTCCTCGATCTTCCGCGGTCAGCAAAACCGCCGGTTTGGCGTCAGTTTTGCACAGTACGTATTGATGTGAAGCGATTGTAAGAGGGATTGAAGTCGATATAATTTCAAAGAGCTCTAACTTCGATATTATAAACACGCGAACACAATTTCTGCGTTTATGTAGCACGAAAACGCGATTATGATATTTTCTTGGTTGTAACTTCAAAACTTTAAAATAATATGCGTCCCAAAATTGGCCTGATAATAATAAAAATGTTTTCAAACGAGTTGTTATCTAAATAATATACATGTATGCAAATAACTCACCAGATCTTATTACGTTTTTCACAAAATTTGCAATAATCTTCATATCTTATTATTTTTATCAAGATTAATAAAAATATTTCTTCTTACCATGAGTTCTCACCGTTAACTCTCGCAAATTGCTGTTCAATTAGATAAACTTGCTTATAGCTACACCTCTCGTGACTTCATCGGTGAATAATTAAAGAAATAATTGCGAGCGCCACGATCACGTTTCAGCAACTATGTATCATGTTCTCACTTCGCGAAAGTACAGACAAACAATGAGCGATCAATAGACTCTGAGCTCTGAGATAATAGCTTCTGAGATTTTCGAGGCACAATTACCTTCCTCCACACAATATAAACGCATAATAAAAATGTAATCTTCAAACTTTTGAAGGGGAACGCTTGAAAAGTTAAACACGACGCACGATTTTAATCCTCTTCGATCGATTCACCATGTCCGCCGCAAAATCGGGCGTCTGAAAGAATCGAAAGGATGCCGGCCGGTATTTCGACTCTGGCACCGTCAACGGATGCGGAGTCTTTCGATTATGAGACGAAGGACCCGCCGGCCTTCACGATCTTACAGAAGGATGGCCTGGACTCGAGTCTGCCGCTCTTACACGTCAACGAGGACGATGAGATAAATGCGTCGCAACTCACCAACTTGAGGAACATGAAGAACGCGATGAAGAATAATCTCTGTAATCGCAGACGCATCAGCAAGTCCAATGAACATCTGGTCTTGGCTAATCTACAATCGCATCAAGTTAATCCTCTGAAGAAAAAGCATCAGAGTAAAAGTCAAGATAGCTTAGAGTTGTTAGCTGAGGAGAGACCGTTTACGGCTAAGCCCAGCATCGTCTTATCAACGGAGGATTTCAATGAGGTGCTGAACGCGAAACTGAAAAAGATCCAAGAGCAAGCCGAGGCGGAGCAAGGCCGCAAGTCGCCCAAGAAATCGATCCAGAAGAAGCCGTTCATCACGACCGTGAAGACGGGGGAATTTCTAATGCCGCCGCCGGAAGTGGCGGCCTTGCTCGGCATCGCGCCCAGCAAAAATGAGGAGGAGGCGGCGGACGGATGTCCTCTGAAGAGCAGATTCAAACCACTGATATCGCTAGTCGGAGGCAAGAGGCCGGAGGTACGTCACAATAGCCACAATGCCCGATGTCCAGCCGCCCTAAAGGCTACCGTAGACTTTTCCCTCGGTATGATGAACGCCACTACCATCGCCACCGCCTCGACCTTGAACGAGCAGGCGAGGAGGTTCAAGAGGAGCGAGCCAGCGTAAGTGACGCTGAGGTGACTTAGTATATAGCTGCCTTCGTAAACACCGTTTAATTGGCATGTCGGTGTCGTGATTGTTGTCTTAAAATCAGGAGCGGATTTATAGAGAGAGAAAAAGAGAGAGAGAGCTGCCACGATGTTTCAGAAAAGCGCAAAACACTTTTATTTGCAAGAAAATTTGTCGATTTTTTAAAAGTTGTATTACATAAAACAGGAACATTACCTTTTTAATATCTTCTAACTTAATTATATTCTTAAAGAGCATTTAAAAATTATTTATCTCAAATCACAAAAAGTAATCCGCTCCTGTTTCTATTTCTTTCATTCAGAATGACGATACAAATTTTACCAAAAAACATTTTCGTGCAAATTGCAATATACGTATCTTACTTTAATTTTGCATCGTTCTCATCAAAAATTAAATATTTACGAAATGAGATAGACATTGCAGGAATGTAATCAATCGGTCTACTAAAAGAGGCTCGCTTATCGAGCTTATCGCCGGCACGCGTCTCAATTTAAAAGCGTGAAAGGTGTCTCTGTCCCAAAAGGCAAAATGCGATTATGAATTCAATTAAAGCGCGTGAATGAAGATAATGAATTCAATTGAAGCGCATGAATAAAGATAATATGAGAGGCATTCCGAAAGTAGAGAAAAAGGGTGTGTAAGAAGAGCGGGAATTGTTTTTCTAGCAGATTCCCGCAGACGCCGCGAGCTTTACCAAAAAAGTTGGAACCGATCGAGGGCATGATGAATATGCTGCCGAGCCTCCGCGGGTAACGAAAATAACCTTACAAGTGATACCACACTTATCACTGGTCTTTTAGTTGATAGCAGCTGCTTTTTCCCCGCTTTTTTTTCTTCTCGTCGGCCCGACGATTTATTCTCGTGCGCTTGTGGTCACGTTCGAGTTTCTCTCTGTCGTCGCTTCTGGTGCACCACATTCTTGAACGAAAATCGCGTACGACGTGAAACAACTGTTCTCAACCAATAATATTAACCCTAGAACCTCACATTGGGGTCCACTAGACTCAAACTTCACGCATATATTTTAAATTATGTAATTAAAACTGTTGTGTGAATCTTAGCTCTTCATTCTACTATGTGACTAGTCATTTTGTTTCTCTAGTTGCTTACTGTGCAAGTGAATAAAAAAAAATTAAAAAGACCCTCGAAAAGACCAGTATAAAAAAATAGGTAGCTAAACAAGTAGACAAAGGGTTAATTTTTATTTTTCTTCTATTATTAAATGGTTTTCATAACCAACTACTCTGCATTAATAAAATATAATCGGATAAAATACAAGACTATTCTACTCTTTAGTAATTTTATTATTTTCATCTAATCAAATATAAAAATTTAATCTTGAATCTTCAAAAATCTTCTTTGAATATGGGTAAATGAGTTCAGCACATGAAAATATGTTGTAAACGTTTTATTGCGTTCACGATAGAGACTGTCGTGATTGTTATCGAAACCATTAGCGTGCAGCAGGGTCGTAGACACCATCATCGTGATGTTTTGTTACTATGCGATTGAAACGCATGCTTCAATAAGTGCTAGTAGATAGATATATCTCGAATATAATCTTTAATAATGGATTATTTAAATTATTTCTTTTCTATATTATAATTTGCTGCGTAGCGACACGTATAATCTCTATTTTAATATATATCATATAAAATTAATACTGCTGAGTGAATAGTCTGATATCAGTGACTATTCACTGATTCAGATTTAGAGAGTATATATATATATATATATTTTTCGATAATAGTCGATGAGTTAGTTTAAGATTTTCTTACGTAATTAAATTAAAATTAGGAGCTACGCTCCTACACCCCAAAAAACTAATCTAACCCAACCCAATTTGTATCAGTGTGATAATAATATTGCTTATTAAAGCAATATCATTAAAATATAAATTTAAAATATGAAACTTTTAGTAAATGTGTACATTGACTAGTAAATTCATACATTGACTAGTAAGTGTATATATTTACTGATTTCACGCTTTTACTGTGACATATACAATTTTTAAAAATTCATTATTTTGTAAAAAGTTTGTCGATGCTTGCCTAAGAGAGAGATGGCCGTTTCATAATAATTATTTCTCAGCATGTTCAGCTGAACTTTTTTTAAATTTGTTTAATGTTACCATTAAGAATTGAGTTTTACTACAAACACAACGTTATTTTGCAGTGATCAATCGGTTCCTTTCGGGAATATTATGTTTGATCGCCGAGTGGCTCGCGGAAGCACAATCGCTTCCGTTCCTCTCGTAAGTACCTCACTAATTTTTCGAAACAAAAGATCCGTATTTTTTTTGTGAAATTCGTATTTATCTAGATCGATGGAGAACAATCAATAGCAGCGAGGCAAGCGGAAGCGAGACGAAGACATTTGGCGAGAAAACGTGCTCAAGTGCAAGCTTGCAGAGCCGTCTGCAGGACGGGTTCGCCTCCTCCGGTTCCTGGAAGAAAACACGAACCGGTGCAAACTGAGATTTTTCTCGAGGAGGTTAATTGAGAAGTCTTCATTTATATATTTCTTTATTAATAAATTGTTACTTTGCATTAAGGCAAGCTAAAGCATATATCAAATTTTTAAATGTATATTCAAGCTAACAGAGAAACCGGATGAATCCGAGGTAGCCACACAAACCGATTATTTCTTGGAAAAACCAGTACTGCCGAGCTATTATCCAGGCAAAGTTGGTCGAGATGTGTGCACTCAAATCGAACCCGGGGAAGTACGTGCTCTTAATATTTTCTTACAATAGTGGTGTTTTATTATAGTCAGATCGATCTGTAGAGCAAATTTTTTGCATCGCGATATTTCCAGCTCTTCGATTACGACACGGAAGTCCAACCGATTTTGGAGGTGTTGGTAGGCAAGACTATCGAACAAGCTCTAATCGAGGTTCTGGAAGAGGAGGAAATCGCTGCTCTTAAGGAGCAGCAGAGAAGATTCCTCGAATTGCGCATGGCTGAAAAAGCTGAAGAGCAACGACTGGCGGAAGAGGAGAGGAGACGTAGAGAAGAGAAGGTATATCGACTTTCTATTTTGATCTTTTAATATTTCGGCACTCTAATCCTTCAAATCCTTCATTTACTTTCTTTACATTATCATAAATAGAGAGCAAGAAAGTGTGTAAAATAAAGTAAATTCGTTTTCAACCCGCAGGATCAACGCCTGAAACAACACGAAGAGGCGGTGAAAGCTCAGCAGGAGACCGAGGAACGAGTCGCGGCTGCGGTATTGTTAACAGGATACATCGCCGAACTTTTGCCCGCGGTTCTGGAGGGTCTGAAGATGTCTGGCTACTTACTGGACGAGATCAAGGCTGGTTCGTGAGCTCGCAAAAAACACAATTTTTCTCAAATTTAATAATTGTAAAGGCTCTTTAATTTCTATCTATATTTATCGATTCTATATTTCTATTGAATTTGTGTTCATTTCCTCCCTCCCTCTTAATTATCTTGCTATTTATTTGGACGATAATGTATCGCGCATATATTTCCAGACGTCGAAGAAGGTTTCATGCCGTGGTTAATGAAAGAAGTAAAAAAAGAAATGGGTAATATGATTGAAAGCAGAGAATTGTTAATGGGTAAGGCTGAGCTTAAAGTAAAAAATCTTTAGAAGGCATTCGTAACTGTACTTTCTCAAATTTTATTTTTAAAAGACCAAATATAAAATAGAAAAGAGATTTATCTAATAGAGCTTTCTGATGTAGGAAATAGACATATACAAATGTATAACAATCATTTCACAGAAATTATTAGAGAAATCTTGGAAAACCGCGCGCAGACGTACAGGCAGCTTGGTGAAGAATATGATATTTCAAGAAACAAGAGACTAGCAAACGTATACAATTTAGAAGGAGGTGAAACTGATAGCGATTTTGTGAACTACGAATCACCCGCGATGGAAAGTCATCACGCAGTTTAGCGTGATAAATAATTTGGTACGATATCCTGTATATATTTGCGACATAAAGATTTAAAAATTTATTTTACCAGGCAAGTTGCGAAATTAAAATCTCAGCAAAATTTTATTTAACTATTAAATTAAAATGAAAATAAAAGTAAAATCTGAAAGAGTGAACGAAGATGTAGAAAATGCGTATTATTATTAGATCATAAATATTTAGTAATGGTTCGGTAGCAATTTTTTTATAACATGTAATTTTTGTTATCGCTAACTACATCACTGTCGTGCAATTTAAAAGACATTAATGATGCCGGAAAATGGGCAAACCATAGTTAACTTTTAGATAACAGGATTTACTTTAACCAGCACAAAGCAATATCCGAACCCGGTACCTTCTACATTAAGCAGTATACACAGCTGTGCAACAAATCCATCTCCTTCGCTTGCACCCTCTGACAGGTCACCGCAGCGCTCGCAATCCCTATCGCAAACAGTAACCGCCGAAAGAACGAGAAAGGCCCATCAGAAATTAATTATCGATTCTCGAAATCAACGCGGTATAATTGCTCTCGCTGTCATAGAAAAGATGCAAGAGCTAAAGATAAGCTTTATCCAAATCAATTTATCTTAAATCAAAATCGTTCTAAACTATACAAGATTTTTCTTTTGCTGAGGTCTTAATATGTACTGTGACGTAACACGTATTATGACATTTGTAGAAGACAGATATTTTTCTTATACAATATTTAATGTATTATTTGTAATACATATAATAATTCGTCATTTATTTGTTTGCAGTTTAGATTAACATGGAAACGCTGCACAACGCTTTCAAGAATGAGAATAAAAAGCTGATTATATTCTAAAAAGTAATTTGTAATTCCAGAGATCTAAAAATTTAAGTACATATGAAATAAACAAAAATATAAAAAAATTCATTCCATACGCACAACGAATATTTCTTACATTAGAAATTACTCCTGTTTACCAAATTAAGATATTTTTATTTTTTAATAATAATTCACGATCTTATAAGATAAGATTTGTGTCTCCCTCCCTCTCAAATCAGTTGTTTTAAAATTCGCTTCCATTCTCAATTAATCAGACTGTCGTGGATTGTCGTCCTAACCCACATTGAAGAGCTAACACAGCTGAGAATATTTCTCCTACGTCGAAAATAACAAATGCAATGTCACTAAAACAGGATGTGTTTTTACACTCGTTAGTCAGGCTAAAAGCACGCTAAAGCAACACCGCCAACAGAGCCAACTACTTGGATCAATCCAAGCCTCGTAGAAGAACTTGCGAAAACCTTAAAGTATAGAAAGATACCTGAGATTAATGAACTACAAAACGAACTGATGAAGTATGAAGGGAAAGAACTATAATCGCAATTGACGAAGCAGTTCCAGAAAATACTAAACAACGAAACTATCCCAAATGACTAAAAGAACATTATAGACATTCAAAAAAGAAGATAAAAAGCGGCTAGAAAACTATAGAGGAATAACTTTTCTCAGTAATAAAACTGCTCATCAGAATCATTAGAATCATTCTTTCGGAGCTAATATACATGAGTGAGAACAACAGGGTTTCCAAAAAAAATAGACACTTTATTCGTCGCCTGACAGATATAATATAATAGATAAATCAATAGAGAATCAATAGATTCGACAAACCATTTATGTACCTCATAGACCTGACCGAAACATTCGATCGAATTAGGTTTTATGATATCGCTGACAAACTAAAAGGAGCAAACATGCCTATGGGATATCAAAGTAATTGAAGCTTTGAACTCTAACACGACTCGTATATTTGTCAATAATATACTGACAGAACAAATATTGATACTGATGGAAATAAGACAAAGACTCTTTAAGCTCGTTTTACCTCTTCAATCTCATATGCACAAATAATAGCAAAAATAGCAGAAATGAAGAACGCAGGCCATTCAGAACACATGAAAGGAAAACACCAATCTTATGTTAAGTATAACACTGTAATAGTATCCGAAAATGAGGACGAGCTACAAAGATTACTACATCAATTTTACCTGACGGCTATGTACAATAACATAGTGAAAAACAAGAAAACTGAAGTCCAAAGTTAGACAACAAAACGGTAAGAATGTCGGGATGTTTAAAAAACCTTATATAGCAAAACAACTACATAAAACAAGAGACCAAGATCAGAATATACAAAACCTGTGTTTGACTAATAATGACTAATGAAAATGACTTATGCAACGGAACTAGAGCTGATACAAAATTAAAAGCATAGTCCGTATTGTACAAATGAGGAAAAATCTGTTATATTCAGGACATCGTCAGGTAGATAAGAGACAAAGTAGAGAAGCCATGTATCAAGAATAGAACAACAATAGAATTGTAAAGGCAAGGGACGGAAAGCTACAGTTCAAAAGACCACCAGGCAGAAATCCATTAAAACGCTGGAAAGACAGATGGACATCAACATCGCAAGAAACGCCATAAAATCGGAAAAAGGATTCAAGCCTAATTCCAGAGGAAGAAAGAAAAGGAAAAATTAGCCTATTATTTCAACTAACTGAGATTTCAATATGAAACGTTCGTATTGATCGAAGTCTTTGTTATTTGAAATAATGTTATATGCACATAGATTACATCGATAAGAACAATTAATAAAATTTTCTAATAGAATTTGCTAAAACGTTAACAAAATTAACATATATATTAAGCATTTATTCCAGGAAGAAAAAATGTGTATGTGTAAACCTATTAATACACATTGCACATTTTGTATTTCTCGTATATTTAGTCGCAAAATATAACATTTATTAAAACGTGTTTATCATTAATATTAGTGCATTTTTGTATTTATCTAAGGTACGACAAATATTGAACAGAGATTATTTCTGAAATTCACCCCCTAGACACGATCATAGGCCACCGATACACCGCCAAAGTAAAAAACCTGTCCGCTCCAATCAGGATTAGACCGATCGTAATGGGATGAGGTTTCACGCTGAATTGAGATCGGCACAGTTTTAAAAAGCCACCCACCCTCTTTAACTAAGCCCTCGCGGGTGAAGGGTGGAAACGGAGTGAGACAAGGGGACATATTGTATTGGATTAAATTAAGCAAGGGGAACTGCTTTCTCGTACCGTGCATTATATGCACAAAAATTGTGTGCCAAGTGAGTCGTGTTTTTGGAGGAGAGGGAGAAGGGGTGGTCTACCGCACGCTGAACGAAGAGGGGTAAAGATGTCCAATGCACCGGGACTGGTATGCCACGAGCGCCCCGACATTATTTTGCCATGTGACCCGTGTCACCTGCATCTTCACGTGATTTTTTCTCGTTGCGAATGCGACACGTGCAAATTTAAGAACTATTGTAAAAATACAAATCAACGTAGTTCTTGAGAAAGACACATTTTACTTTTTTTTAAATTTAACTTTACGGCTCTTACAATAATTATTTGCGATAAAAAATTTTTAAAATTTATTATATTATGTAATTTTATATTTTATAAAAATATCTTCCCGCTCTGGGGCTGTTGGCTTGAGTGAAAACGAAACACTATCGTATTTTAATATTTACCCGTGGACAATCATGTGAATTGGATTGACTCTTAAAATCAAGTAAACAGTTCCTAATGGTTAAATACTGCCACGCGGGGCGCGTGGTCGGAATGGAGAATATCTGTGGGGTATTCGGTGGTCACGTGTCGTGTTACATGGCACTCGTTTCTGCGGGACGCGAGCAATATGTCGACGTGGCACGTGGACAGCGGAAGTGCACTTTGACTTTCCTGGCATGGAATGCAATGCAGAAAAATTTGCAAAACACATCGATTAAATTAATCTAGATTAGATTATTGAAATATAATAAAAAATTTTCTTTATATGTAAAATTTTGTACAAAAATTATCAACAATTTATTATTTAATTATTAATAATAATTACAGTTGTAATAATTGTTAGCAATATTACAATTATTATAATAATAATTGTTCCAACATATTTTCGCAATACGATAGATATAACAAACAAAAAATAATATAAAATTAAATTAAAAAATTCCAGAAGATAATTATTGGCAATCTTTAGATAGCTGTAGTTTATCCGACAAAACTCGCCAGCTAAACCAGTCTGGCCAGCGCAATTTGCAGCGAATATTAATAATACATAAGCCACCGTCTCGTTCGAGGCAGCGTTAGACTTTTGACACTTGCAGAACCGAGACGAATCACCTTTATGACTGCCTCCCCGCAAAGGCGACCATAACTCAGGATTTCAGTAAAGGGACACAGAACAATGAAATTGGTTCCGTCTCCCCGTGGCAAAAGGTTCCAAGTCTACGCGCATCTTTCGTCACCGACGATTCGCATGCATGTGTCTCTATACGCACTTTTAAATGTATGCAAAATATACTTATCGTTAATGATGATATAATATAGAAAGTTCATAATATATATGGTGCACGGCTATATCAACGTATCATACATACCGATATTATAAAATATCTTTTTTTAAATCCCACTTGTTCACGAAAGAAAAAACATAACAATGCGTACATATCGAATAATATAACATGCAAGAAATTTGTACATTGTATGACATTAATGTATTATTAAAAAATGAAATATCATATTTATAAATTATTACTTTTAAAAATTAATATTGTTTCTCCTTTCACTATAAAGCTTTCTTATTTTTAATACATAAGGAAGAATTTCCTAGTTAGAACTGAACGGTATATCCTGTGCAAGACCAAAATGCACTTGCGTCTCCTCGTGCATCGTCACACCGGGTGCTTGGTGCACGGCTTGGTGCGCGAATACAAGATCGCGGAGGGGTGCTTCCGCATAGGCTTATTTTGAACATCCCACCCAGGAGGGTGCGGCGATAATACGTAGATGATAATCGCGATATTAATATCGCATTGGGAAGCGCACACATGCGTGCAAGGGACCCATTGGTCACGGCGGAACACTTGCTCGCTTGCTGGCTCCGCGGTTGTCTGAATTGCACCCTGATTTTAGAAAGAAACGACTAAAGGGAACGACCCTCCGCCGCAGTGCGAGCAACAAACAAAATTTATCAGCAAACTGCGAGAAAGGTGAGTAGGTGTAATATTGTTAATATTCTGTACGATAATTTGTTTAAAAAATTATTGCATGCAGAGCTAATTATAATTAATTTACTAAATTATTTTATATCCATATTGATTATTATATTGTTTAACGAGAAGATCTCGGCAGATAAATATCATAGTCAGAAAATTAGATAAATTTTGCGTACTTCCCCGTTACGTATCCCTTCCCCGCCGCATATTTTCTTAAATAGCTACACCTTTAATAGGGCCTTTACAAGTTCCCCGAATCTCTCATACTTCTGCTTCCTACTCACGAATCGTGCAAGGGGCTGAAACACTTGCTGCGTACATTTTAGGGCGCGATAGAATGGTGAAACACTCGTGCTCGAGTTTCTAGCGATTCGGGGAGAGGTTGGTGCAGGGGATGGTGCGGCTTGTGAACACTCGTGTCATTCCCTGCTCCGACATCCACACACGCGGATGAATCACGTCATTCATTGAAAGAGATTCGCGGCCTGAAGGAACCATGCCCCTTTTCTGGTCCCGAATCAGACTGGTGAGCTACGTGTATAGCTTCGAAAATATATCTTATAAGAATTCGTGAAATATCGTATTCGCGAGAGATCATATTTAAAGTCGATAGCGGTTCACAAAACATTAAAGCAATTAAATACAAAGTCAAATATGTGTATATGTGAAATCCGTTTTTATCCATTTTCGAAATAAAAATATACGTCATGAAAATGTATTGCTTTAGCATTTGTATATATCAATATTCAATTGATGTGCATAGCTAATTCATCACATAGACGATTAATCTTGTCGTTAAAACGATAAGTACCGTCGTGTCCAGCGAAAAGCGTTTTACGAGATCATCTATTGCGTACATAAAAAAAGAGAGAGAGACACGCATTGGCAAGATAGCGCCAAAATGTACTGGGTGCATCGAGATCGACGGACGATTAGACAAATCCGAACGATATCGCGCCTACGCGATCAATGGCATGGACCACCGGGAAGAATAAGCCACTTAATTTCCTAATCAACCGTTGATTCAGATGCACCTTTCGGTCGATCCCTCGCATTGGTAATACGGAGACGCGTAGTGGGCCGCAGCTGAGCCAAACAATGTCTTTTCACATGAAGCTTTTATAGCCCTATCGAGAGTACGGAAGGTCTGTCTGCTCCTGGTCCTACCCTACCGATCCGCGAATTGCACGCGTCTTCATCAAAATCACAACAATATTTTGCACTACACTTTACGATAATACGAAAAATCACGACGCAATTAAAATTAAGACGCGCAATACGTTGGTTATTATTTTCACAAAAATTTTACCTAGATGTAATGCAATCTGTATTTAGATTAATTTTATTAATAAATAAATATACATATACGTATGCATATATATCTCAATTTTTAATTGTTGCTCCTTTATTAGCAACGTACAAGGCGTCCGTAATACCACGTGACGAGAAAGTAGCACCTGCTACAGCAGGCAGAAAATCCCCGAAAGCGAACCTACGACCAGCTAGCTCCTCCCATTCCACGCGGTTGCACCAACGACACGATTCGCAAGCGACCGAAGGGCCTGTCTACTACCGGCCCTAAATACAATTACGTATACGTATCTACTCGTACGGAGAAGGGTAGAGGGGAGAATACATGCAGCTAAACCAATGACCAAAATCAGGCACCACCTCCAGTACAGATTTAAAGCATGCATGAAATATACCTCTATCTTAGTTGATATCTTAACTCGCGACTATGCGGATCGGCGTACAACGATTCAAGGTACGCCTTGAAAAGACTTGGCACTGTGTGACAATCAACATCCGCGAATGTTCTGCAATACTTTGTGAAATGTTATAGTGCAACTTCAATTTCATCGAATATATTTATTGTAATCGGAAAAATATCACCACGTTCTAACGCGTTTTCTGAAAACATAGTTTACAAAGAGAACTGATCGATGAAGAACTAGAGTTTGTGAGGAGAATTTCAAAGTGTCCAGTACCTATCGAAATTTCAAAAAAAACTGCCCTACAGAAACTTTTAAAGAACGCGCAAGTGATGTATCCCATAGTATCGGAATACGAGGCAATAACAAGAAGAAGAAGCGAAGAACCAGAAAGAACTAGTTTATCTCAAAGATACCAAGTACAAAAATACTTAGCGCAAGGATATGTCAATTTAACCATGATTGGAAAGCCCAACTTCCTCATGAGCAGACCGTTCGTTCGAGCCGCTGGACTTCTTAAAGGAAACTCCATGACGGAAATTATCCCCGTCAATACGTTGCCCGAAGGAAACACATCAGTCATTCAACATGTATGTGGTGTAAAAACTTTTGTACAAATTCTATATTATTTTATTTAAAGAACTAAATTTTTCTGTCTTGAGTTTCTATTTAAAAAAAAATATTTTCGACGTTTGTAATAAAGTGATTTTAATGCGCACGTTAGAGTATAGAATATCTCACAGAATTTTAGTTTTAACTTAAAATCTATTAAATATTAATGTTCTAGAGTGTCATTGAAATTATCGACATTGGCGGTCGTCTTCACTGTCTCAATGGATCTATAAGCCCATCTTGTTGGCTGAAAATCATCACCTTGGCGACAGATTTCCAAAATTACAACGTTCTGCTCACGATTAGCAATGGCGGACTCGTGTTAAAAGCAATAAAAGACATATCATCAGGAGAACCGTTATTAATGTGGTTTGACGATTGTATTTCGACAATGTTAAACATTCCATTTTTAACACCGATAAATTGCAACATTCAAGGTAAGAGTCTTGGAAGAGAATTTTCCTGGTCTAATTTTTCCGCATGTCATCAATACTGGTTATAATCCTTCGCTAGTTTTCTGGCGACCATTAAATATCATAAAATGCAAAGTTAATTACAAGATTTCTTTATTAGCAAATTTCTTACTATATTGTTTCAAGAATCTAATCATTTCATAACACATTATTAAAAAATTGAATATTAATGAGCCATTTCGCTACTATTTAGTATTTTTAAAATAGTTAATAAAAAATAAAAAAATGTTTTTCAATAAAAATTTTGTAGTCTATATCATATAATCAATCTATCAATGTAAATTAGTGATGGCACTTCTTTAATTTAAACTTGTATTTATCATAAATCTCACCATTAATTTTTATTAAAAAACTAAGTTACAAGACTATCTCTAGCAAACAGAATTAAACAATAATAACAAAATAAGAAGCTTCCTTCGCCAGTAAATAAATATTATACAAAACAAAAGTCGTTTTTGTTCGACCCAACTGGCCAAATAATTAATATATTTAAAATTCACAACGTTTCAACCGCAATTCCGGTCCTTCTCAATAATAATCAACAATAATCTCAATAATAAACAATAATAATCTAAGTCCATAGTCTTACTATCTCATGGCTAGGCACTAATTCAATTCAATTTTCATTCAAAACAGATTTTAATGGTCTCACGGTACGGTACTCAAAAATGATCAACTTTAATGATTAAATTTAATGATAACATTCGCAAAAAAAGTAAACTCCAATAATTATAACTTACATAATTCTAAACTGCATTAATGTACGATAATAATGTAAATTAATAAACGCATTATTAAAAAATTGAATATTAATGAACCATTTATTAATAGACGATTGATTTAATTATTGCAGGTCAGGTTTACATGTGCCATAACTGCAACAGCTGTTTCAATTATCCAAATCCTTTGAAGCTGCATTTGGCGTTGGATTGCAACCGAATGGACAACAGTTACATTTGGATACTTTTGGCGAATAAAATTCTTAATTCCCCGAGAACGGATTTATCCTTCGGTCAGGCAGGCAGAAGCTTCACATTTGAGCTGAAACCCTTGCCCGTTTCCAGGCCAATAGCATTGCCGATCGGTATTCCAGCGTACCCGGTGCAAACAATTGACACTACCACCCGTTCGTTGAGGAACGATTCGCCGTGCTCGTCGAATCAATTATCGTCCGTGTCCTCGAATGGTCCCTCACCGGTACCCCCGTATTCCTCGGTAAAATCCCCGCCGGCAGAGATCTTACCGAGCACATCGACCTACGAATCGTCCATCAAGAATATGGAGAGAAATCGCTACTTGGCATTGAGGCCCTACGAAGCCCTGATGCATCGAGATGTCTACAGGAGTAGTTTCATACCCTACGACATGCATTCTAACATGCAAGCGGAATCCAAGAAGAAGGATCCCGCGGAAGTGGAGACACTTGCCAGCGACATGGGCAAATGCGGTGCTGGCTATAGATGCATTTTTTGTGATAAAATATACTCAAGAAAGTACGGACTGCGGATCCACATTAGGACGCATACGGGTTACAAGCCTCTGAAATGCGACTTTTGCCAGCACAGATTCGGGGATCCCAGTAATCTCAACAAGCACGTGAGATTACACGCGACAAACGACAGCCCCTATAAGTGCAATATATGCGACAAAGTCTTGGTCAGAAGGAGAGACTTAGAGAGACACATAAATTCCTGGCACTCGGAAAAGAGCGATACTAACGTTTCCAACGTCGAGGTCAATGACGGAAATTAGAAAACAGCGAATTTTGCAAGGTCTTTTATAATCTTTGACCGATACTGAAGAAATGTCATTGTCTGTGATAAATAGATTATTTAGAGAAAAACCGATAATCGTAAACAATGACATTTTTCTCTAACTTTAAACCGCGATTTTATATATTAAGATGTTAAATAGAAAAATATATTATTTTGAAACTAGTCATAAGAAATAATATCGTTCCTCGCTATTTCTTAACACATTCACAGCAACTATTAATCTTTCATCTCATTGAAAATTCCCCCGAATATAAATAATACAAATAAATAATTATAAATGTATTTTTGTAACTTAAATCAAACTATAAATCGCTTGTTTATGGATATAGCTTTATGCTATGCGCATGTTAAAAACCGATTCTCTATTATATATATGTCAATAAACAAAGTCAGCGTATTTTATTATAAGATTGTTGTTATTGAAAATAAAAACTTATATGCATCATAAATTTTTAGATGTTTTAAATGTATTATTTTCTTGCATTGTTATACGTTCTTTAAAGTTAGTGTTATTGCTACAATAGTATTCTCAGTTATTTGGGAAACTGAGAGTGTGCCCAGATAGAACAGAAAGTCACAATGAAGTCAAAATGACATCCAAATGATGGTATAAACAAAAATCGTCATTTTGCCATCAATTCAACATTATTTTGATTTTATTGTAACTTTCTGTTCTACCTGGACAACTCTCTCAGTCTCCCAAATAACTGAGAATACTACTGGGCAGTTCATAAATGAGAATAAGAGCTCAAAACTGTATCTTGAAATAAGATGCTACTATGAATTCTCTCTATGTTTCATTCCTTATTTCTTATTCCTCTCATTGTGCATGAGTCCCAATTGTATGAAAATCTCCTGGTGCAGCAATACGACAATCACCAATATTTTTTTGTACCTTCTCGATGCTACACGCCAATTTTCTTGCAAGTAATCTAAAATCATGATCCGAATATGACGAGACAAGTGGTTTTCATAACGTAGATATATTGTTTTATACACTGCATTATATAATTAATTGCAGTCACGGTTTTAATCAGAAAAATAAATATAGGTAGTGACCGCGACTGCGGCAGAAAATCATCGCGAATATTATTAGTTACTATCACATAATTCGATTAATTCATATACGTAATCGGTTTATAAAGATTCCATAAAAAAAAATAATACGATCGCACGAAGCTCTCACTTGACGGAACCATCGCACTATTGCAATATACCATATCTAATGAATTCCACATCAGATTTTCTATCACATTTGGAGATTTCGAAGTGGCAAATCCACCACTAATACGTATAATTAACTTTCGTCTACACGCTTATGATTAATCATGTAATAATTATAAATTCACTCACCAGTCGTTGCATCGCCTGCGTTGTCACTGATTGCCATCGCTACTCTGGCTAGAAAAAGAAAAGAGATAAAAGATAAGTACTATAAGTTACGGAAGGTCTATAAGAGTATTAAATCTTAAAAAGCCATTTACATCAACCGTCAAGATCCTTTTTTCACCATATCAAATATCGCTTCAACACACACAGACGTCCACTTTACCAGAGAGAAGTCGGGGAGAGGCCATCTCGGCCTTTTTCGTGGGACTGTCGAAAGCCCCTGTACATCGCCAGTACATCCATTTTCGAAATTGGTACTACATAGCCACGTTCATTTTCCAACACTATCGATAAAACATCATTTTGGTGCGCGTCCGTGCTACATCTGCAAATGTAATATATTATATATGATGTATATTATACATTTACAGTTTGCAGATGTACCACGGACGCGCACCAAAATGATGTTTTATCGGCATTGTCGAAAAGAGAAAAAGAGAGAGAGGGAGAGAGGGCTATCACTTCTATTAAATATTTATATATACGTAAAATATAGATAAATATATTAATATACAAAATAAGTTAATATTTATGGATACATGTAAGATATAAATATTCTCGATTGTAATTGATTGAGTATCAGTTTAATATTTATATCTTACAATGTCTTACACGTATCGATAAATATTAACTTATTTTATATAACTATTTATATCATATGTTAAATATATAATAGCCCTCTCTCCCTCTCTCACTTTCTCCTCTTCTTTAATTTTCACACTTTTCATACAGCACAATGTCCAAAATCGAGACATATAAGTCTTTTAGCCATTTTTTCGTAAGACATCAAAAAAAATTTCTAAAAAATGTCTTTTAGACGTCTATGTCCCGCTTTTATACATGCTGTCTGAGTTATTTCAAATAAAAAATATGTATCTCCTATCAATTTAAAAATCCGAATACGAGACAATAAGCCTTTATGAAAAATTTTGTAAGTAAAACGAATAATTTGAGGAACAAGCAATAGAGAACATTTATAATTTTTAAGTATCTTGACGACCGACGGTTTATCGTCTTTCGGAGGCAAGAGACACGACACGAATTCCGAGGTTATCGTCTCGCTGCGACACGCGGACCAACGATTCTATTAAAGATTCGGATGTATCGCGCTTCGAATCATTTGTCTCTCATGCACAATTCACTTATTACCGATCGGCGATCACGGCACATTGCAGGAGACCCGTCAAATCACAGCCGGGAGAAGCGGGAGGGTGATATACGTACGGGCGTCCAGCACGGCACTCGGCGTTCATTTCGGCCATCCCACTCGTTGTAGTCGACACGAGAAGAAACATAATATTCGGCGTACATTCAGCTTGCAACACACGCACTCTGTAACCGGAGGATTTTGTTTTCGTTCGCGAGAAATACTTTACACGAGCGACAACGACTCGCCGCGACTCGTAAGCTTACATACCGACGATACCGACGTTCAACGAGTAACGTATTACTTGCGCGCGCGCGCCGCGCGGCGACTCGAGCCGGAAGCCCGAATCCGGCCGAATCACGTTCGGCTTTCGGCTACTCTCGCCGCCGGCCGCCGACGCGCCCCGACGCGGCACGCAGCACTTGGCAGGCGTGGCAGGCGCGATGCCGCGACCGTAGAATGAATCCGCCGATTTCAGAGCAGCGTACGCGTACGTTCAAATAAAGTCGGCGCGCGGACGATTATTTCCATCGGCGAGACGGCCTTGCTACTTGTTTTCGTCGACGCTCGGAATACCGTTACCCGCAGATATGTTACTCAATTTATTCTCCCGATGAATTTCAAGACAGGTGTGAAGTGTTTGCCGTGGGTGCTGTTATTCGGAACGCGCGCTTGTTCGCGCGATTGGCATTCCTGCTCCTCGTTTCGCGGGAATAATCAACGACGCGCTCAATGCATCAAGTGTATCAACTGTATCAAGTGTCGTGAATGAATGTGTCGCGTAAATCGAATCGCTCGCTCGAGGCGGAGATGTCGAGGCGAAGGTACCTGATACGGCAATTTGTTGTGAGTGAGTGATTTGCAGTTTCGTCGTGATATTCGCGGGTGATAAATCATTCGACCCGCTCCGGGCCGCCGTACGTTTGGACTATCGAATGTGCATGGCATTCATTATCTCGAATCGTGTCGTGTTTTGAACGTGCTGTGCCGAAATTGTCGTGTGATTATCCCCGATTCTTTTTGAAGAGCGGAAAGAAGTAACAACGTGAAATTGTATCGTGATTCAAGTAAGTGATTCAAGTAATGGCACACTGTGATACAACATACAACGCTCGTTCATGAATATTTCTTATTTTCGTGTATTTTGTGCCGCGTAATCGCGACTTCTCGTTGTGCAAAGCATGCATATTAATAGTACTTACACTATACTTACATTCGCGAGATTTACGTGCTCGATTCCGTAAAATGTGCGTACGACATTTAATCTTAATTGTGGTTTTGTTTAATCAACTGCGTATCTTTACTAACCGTCCACTTGATTCGCGTATAATATCTCGCGTCAAGATCTTCCAACATTTCATCGCCATTAACGCGACTGCAACGCAATGATAAAACGCGGAACGAATCGGGGCAATCGGCGTCGCGACTCCTTCAAATTTGCGCGAAAAATCTATGTTACCTGTTATATATTACAGAGTAAAGTACTTCCTTCCCATGGGTACGACCTTGGCGAGGTGGGAAAGCCCAGTACTAAGTACGAGGATTTTACCCAAGCAAAACTCTTGTTCTGCTTGGATAAAAATTCAAAGACGGGGAAGCTAACGTACCCTTGTCCGCCGATTTAATATTGAATGAACGAACCGCAGCCGGGGTTCGTCGCGTTTGTTTCGGGAGTGACGTTCAAGTAATCGGACTAAAGAACTTTTTTGAACGCGAGTCCTGTACAGTATCGCGCGAGAAAGACTTTTACTGAAATTAGTCCGCGCGCGTGTAGTTTATTATCCGCGAGTATTTCTTGCGAGTGTCCTGTGCAGTGAGAGGAGGAGGCCTGACGTCCTGAGAGGAGGAGGAGGTCTGGGAGAGACATCGGGCCCCGGCAGAGCAACCTTGAGGTGAATATAATCTGCATAATAATTCTTTTCCATTTATTTAGATTTGTTGTTTTATTTTGATAAGTTAAAAATAATTAGAAAAAGAGGAAAATTATCTAAAGTTATGTTCTTATAAAAGAGCTTTTTCGGTAAATAGATAATAATTGTACGTATTGCTAAATATTTCATTGAAAGACGAATTAGAGGCGCGTAAGAATTATCTTTTGAAATATTGATCATTCTGAACGCTTCTTTAACTTGAATCTTATGCTTGTATGTTACAGTATTATAGGAGCACCGTAGCTACGGAGCTGCATAACTCCGCCCGTTGCGCATCGGATCGGTGAGTCAATGAGACATTTTTTTATTGAGGTAACGAATCTACGAATAATCAAATATAGAGCAAAAATATATCTTGATACATGTCGGATTACAGTAAATTATAGTATGAAAATATTTAACATCTCGTAGATCCGTTGCCTTAAAATGGATACGTTAAAACTGATTATGGCAAATATTCAATCTTGGTCACTTGTTTATTGATGTATTGTGCGATTTCGCTTGAGGAAATCCTCGCACACATATAGCTTGCAAAGAGCTCATTATCGTTGAATTACGTTGACAAACCTTCGCGCGTTCTATATAAATATTTTTTTAAATAAAATTTTAAGTCCTAAATAAAATATTATATCGAATCAGAATTTTATTTCGCGAATTTAAGTTAGTAAATTACACAGTAAGTTAAATTTTCGAAATTTTTTTTACGTAGATTAATTCTACTTACAATTAGAGTAATAAATTAAAAAAAAAATACAAAGAAATAAGAAGTAAAGTAATCACTATCACAATTAAAGTAATGATTTTAAAAATATAAAATTTTTATTTAGATTTTTTATAAAATTATTTTTTTTTAAACAAAAGAGAAAAGTATAAGATATTGTGTAAAAATAAAATAAATAAATAAAAATTTCTGTAGATAGGGAAAAATTATGAATTAGTTAGGATTTGTGTTATTTATACCCTTCTATTCCTTTCCATATACTTAGCCAAGATTAAATATTATAAAAATCGATGCAAGGAAACAATATATAATAAAAAGGATAAGAAGATTTTGGTTTTATTATGCAATTTATTTTATAGAAAACGCGATATAATGGTTATTAATTACTATTTATTTTAACAAAGCACCGATTTTACCCTAATTTTTTGTAACCTATTCATCTATTTTGGATTGAGAAATTGGCTTTGTATCAATCAAGTAATATATGACGTGAGATTCTAATTATTCTGTTGAGAAACGCTGAACCTTTTTAAATTATTTTAGAATTGATCGTATAATACAATTATATATTCAATTTTACAGTAATATATATGAATATACACATCAAAAATAATTTTGGTAGAAAATGAAAAATATAATGAGATATATTTATATCAATATGTAAGTTTATATAAAGATTTGCATATATTATTCAATTAAGAACGCAATTATTGATTAATTGTAATATACAATTATATCAATTGTGCGGAAAGTTACTTTTTTTCGGATCTCACGTCATTTATTCTGTATATAGTGTATATCTTATTTGATATATTTTTAACATGCGTGCCGCATGAATAACATGCACAATCACGCATCTTTGTATTTTCGCGATCGGTTTTCGCGGTCAGTTTTTACATCGAGAAATTTTCTCTTATTAATTTTTTAATTTCGCTTACATTATAAATTTCAATTTTTCGCGGAGTATAATTGAGATTAATATTTATAACGCGAAGTAAAATTTTTTCTATACTTGATTACAATTTCAAATTAAAATAACGAGCCACAAGAAACGGTCAATCATTAGTATTCTCAAGCAAATAACGGTATTAGTGCATGATAGAAATATTTTTGATCAATGTTGTACAGTCAATTTTTATAGATTAATATTCTTTTGTAAATTAACTTCTTGTTGTGCATTTTTCGATACAATCAATGCTCACATATAATTCGAATCGAACGTAATGATATCTGTCAGCGATGATAATAATTGTCACAATGGAAGGAATTTTTCTCCTTTATTGATTTGGTCGAAATACGACCAGATTGTATATGGTCAGGAGTAACAAAAGTAAGTCCGATCTGGCCCGACGAAAGAAAATTGGATACGATAAGGTAAGTGGTCAATATTGACCACAATGGTGTAATGCATAAGGTAACATATAAATTGATTTTATATAATATGTATATACATATATATTTATTTGCCCAAAGTAGGGCTATTTAGAGTATTTTCTCTATATTTTGTCGCATATATACGAGATTAAAAAACCCCAATTAAATTTTAATCGCGCGCGTGTTAAAACTTCCAATTTCACATTTCCCATATTTAAAGTGATCGTGTCACTTTCAGGTATTCCGCTGGATTAACCAGCAAATCAGGCCTGTTACAAATCGCGATCTTAATTAAAGACTTGTATATTAAATTGTAACACGGGTAGGTAGGAAAATGGACAGGTAGGATTATAGATTGGAATACGGGTAAGTAAGTAAGGATACGGGTAGGCAGGGACAAGAGGATGTGTAAATCAGCGCTGAAAGCATCGCTCCATCTTTATTTGATATTCAACGTGCAACGAAAACAAAATGATGCTACAGCGCGGAAAGCGTTTAAAAGGAACGCAGCCTTATAGTGTGCAATGTCTAATTTAAATACTTTAAAAAGTTTAAGAGTATGTTTAATATTTCTAATAAGCAATGTGTTAGCAATAAGCTAGCAATTTAGTAACATATTTAATGAGACATTTCGATAAATTTCAATCAAATTGTATCTGCATTAAGCTTATAATCTACTGGTGTAAAATTTACTGATACTCGGCAACAAAAGAAGTGAGATAAGATATCACAAATAGGTTACAATGTAACTATAATGCCTTGAAAAATGAGTGAATCTAATTAATAATGCTAATTTTTTTGTGTGCTTTAAACTTATTTTGTGCTGTCGTGTCTCTTCTTCATGTTACAGTCTAATTTGATACATTTATTTACTTCATCTTCTGAGATATCTCTGAGATCTCTGATGATAGAATAAAAATAATTTATTTGAGTCACTTCTTGAAAACTTTTTGTTTAGCTCGCGCGGAAAACAAATACGTAAATGATTCCGTTAGAATACAAACAAGTATATATATATATATATATATATATATATATATATACACAGATACACATCATATATATCACAAATAATGTAATATTTAAAGAGATACCTACGTTTTAAAATTAAATAAATTTAATACAATTTAATCTAAAAATTTAAGAACATACGAAAAACCTTTCTAGTATATAACGAGTTAGTAACATGCTAGCAGTTTGATAGCTGTCAAATATTTAAATAATTAACGACAAATGTATCTGCAGTAAATATTCTAACGCACGACTGAACCGCGTAAAACAATTAGGTTTATATCTACAGAATATCCAGGACAAAAAGTTGTTTGTTAAATATGACATTTTGTATTTATAATAAGATCTGTTATTATCATTGTTAGTTTGCGACGACCTTGCAAAAGAGTGAGATCGTAATCGTCAAAGGTATATTTTCAGTAAATCTTAGACCGTCGTTTGTTTAGCTCGCGCACGGCCTTAGACCACGATTTCAGTAAATTATCTCGACATTATCTCGTTTCGCGGTAAGTGGTAAAATAATATTAATTATGCTTCAAAAAATGATATAACTTAATATAATAAAATAACTTTAATAAATAAGGTGAATTGTTAAAACTGTAAGGCTTACACATAGATTCTTTTGAAGAATAAATTGTCTGAATGTAGACACAGTTCTGCTTATTCAAAATTGTCATTTATAGAGTTATCAAAGTCTACGATGTTCCAATCAACATCAGTAGTCATATATTGCATGTTTTAGGTAGCGAGAAAACGATCAGAAATACATGAAATCATTTGCGAGTTTAGTAAAATACAGAATTTTAGATCAAGGTAAATTACAACAAGACAACAATAAACACCATTTTCAAATCTGAATCTAAACTATTATATTTCATTAATATAATTATTAGAATAGTAGAAAGGTTATAAAATAAATAATTAACATGTTTGTTACTATTTTACATAATGGTTGTCTATTGATTGGACAAAACTCTATGCTACCTTCATTACTAATTGTCAATTTTCTGTGAAGTAGAAACGTTTCTGCAAGTTCTTGAATGAAAAGTTGATGCAACATGAATCTGGAAAACATGCGCAGCACTTTAATATTCATCATCGCGGCAACCATTCTTACCGGTGGCAAGTCGCAAAATAATTTTAGCATTCCAATCGAATCCATCCGTTTATCTGTGAACTACATGGTACCGATTCACTACAACATAAAGCTAATTCCAAATACCCACATACACGATTCCAATAAGGCAAAGCCGTCAATTATAATAATAAATCATGGCCATGTTTTATTTGATGGCGAATCTAGTATAACTATAAATATCTTACAATCTACACAATATATAAAATTACATGGATTAAATCTGCTGATATCTCTTTCGATAAAGTTGTTTAAAGGAGATGGCTTAATGTATAAAATGAGTAAATTTACATATGGTTCTGAACCGGACATTTTAGTGTTTCACTTTAACGAAATATTATTTCCCGGGCTTTACTGCATGAAAGTGGATTACGTTGGTCGAATGACAGACGACGACACGGAAGGCTTCTTCAGATCTTCCCACGTAAACAAAAATGGAGATACAGAGTAAGTAGATGTGTTAAAACAAAGATTATTACATTGCAATGTTATCTACAATGTAATTATTACTTATATTTTTTTACAAATTGTTCCCGTAACAAAGATACAAAAAGATTTAAACTATATATGTCTTATAAAATATAATTAATATTATTATTTAAGGACTCTTTAAATCAATTTGTTTACTCCTATAACAGTTTTTAATACCAATCATACTGTAGTTAAAAAGTTAATTATTTCACAATAATATATATAAAGAAATTATAAAAATTAATAAAATGTGATAGGAACATAGTAGCAACACACATTCAGGCGACTGGAGCTCGACGATTATTTCCCTGTTGGGACGATCCGCAATTAAGAACCACATTTGCCATCTCTGTAAAGCATCACCGTAATTTTACAGCTTTATCCAATATGCCGATAAGAATGAATTATACAGATCAAGATTATACAGATCAAAATTATACAGATCACAGTTTAAAGTGGACACACTTCTTAACTACTCCTCCAATAGCCACTTATCACGTTGCGATTGCAGTGACGAATTATATCCCCATTCGCATTAATAAAAATATTTATTTGTGGTGCAGAAAATATCTTAAAGATCACTTTTTTGAGTTGGCAAAGCGAGTTATTGAAAGCGTCACGTCGCACTTGGAAACTGAATTTCAAGGAATAGAAATTCCAAAAATGGATCATGTTGCAATTCCAAACTTTCCACAAGATGGCACATCGAAGTGCGGACTCATTTTTCACAGGTAATATATAATTCAGAAAACATAATGAAATCTATCAAATGACTAATCTGTATTATTCAAAATTTCCGGAAATAATCATATACATTACTTTCCTGCGATTAATGTATCAATTAAAGTCCATAATACACGTTTACAACTTGATATAATATGAATTATACAAATTATTATAACATATAGGGAAATGGATCTTATCCATGATGAGCAATTAGATCCAGTAATGCGTAAAATAGAAGTCGCACGTGGTGTAGCACTTAAAATAGCATATCAATGGTTCGGTAACGCAATTAGTTCATCACGATGGTCTTTTTTTTGGCTACATGACGGTCTTGCCACTATATTCGCAGAAGAAGCTGTCGATAAGGTTTTTACATTTATCATCGCAGAAATATTAAAGACTATTAATTTAAACTTTTCATTCGTTTTTATTTCTACAAACTTAGATGTGGATATTATAGACATTCAAACTTTTACAAAGTCTGTATTAAGAGAAATTTGAGGCAAATTTTATAAATACATTTGAAACAGAATAATACAAAAATATCTTGTAAAAAATTTGTTTATTGATTAATTGTTTTGATATTTTTTATATTTATATTATATTTTAACAATTCCTTATTATTCCCAAACTTAGTTATAGAAAGTAGAAAAACTTTTTAACAAAGACGTATAAAGTGTGCAGCAGTACGCACTAGACCATATGGACATATCATTTGATCTAATACTGATATAAGTATATTCACTTGTAAAACTTTGTTTTTAGATCCTCATTAATTCTGGAATAATGGATTTCTTTATAGTTCGGAATCAATACGAGTCTCTTCATTTGGATTTTTACTTTAATATGAATCCCCCATTAACGAATAATCTGTCGGAGACCAATTCACTTTTCAATTTTCCTCGTTACATCAAAGGTAACATTATATATGTAATTAAACAATTATATTCAAATTTGCAAAAATAAATGTCGTTGAATAAGAAGAAAGAATGTAAAAAAGAAATTTAGTTTTATTATATTTGAATACACTTTATATATCTTTCATTGTAGCACCTATTGTTTTACGGATGCTCCAAAATGTAATGACCACTGAAGTATTCCGAAGTGGTGTTCGTTCATATCTATATAAGTAGTGAGTAACAATTATATTATAATAATTACATATTATAAAAACAGAAATAGCTATAATAGCTGCCAAATTTCCACAAAAAAATTTCTCATTTTTTGTTGCATTTTTTGCTACATCTCTGAATATTCTATAGTGTTATTCCAACACTTTCTTTTTTCTTGATTGTAAGTAAATTGTATCTAATCCTACTGTTTTGTATCCTTCTTTTTATTTTTAATTTTTCAACATTTTGTAACATTTAAATTTCTTCCTCTCGTCTTCCCATTTCTATAATTTTTATATCATTCCGCGAATTCCAATATTCTTTAACAAACTATTATTTTTAAAAGTTAAACTGATTAGATATTAAATTGCAAATTATTACAAATTATAATATAAATTATAATGTTTAACACAGATATTGTACAACATGTTATATGTATTTGTAATATGTAACTATAGTACAGACTACAGAGTATAATATATACAATGTAGAAGTTAAGTTAATTGTACTTTTATATATTTTTATATTCAATTGATAATATCATTAGTTGTCAATAAACAAACACTGTTAATAAAATTTTTAATTTAGCGTGCATAGCTCACTGGCTCCTTATCAATTTTGGTCCATACAAGAAGACCTAGCTAATGAATACCTGTTTAACATATCAAGATATGATTTCTCAGCTTGGATAAACAACAGGCATTATCCTATCTTGAATTGGACACAAAAAAATTCTTCCTACGGAACGATGAAGCAATGTCTTAACAAAACACATTACGGTAAATGGTGGATACCTACAAGGATAATTACAAAGTCTATTTTGCCTAACAATATCAGAATACAAATAAAACCACAAACGTTTTCATATTTGGATTACAATTTTCAAGATGATTGGGTAATGGTCGACATTCAGCAAGCTGGTAAATATTTATCAAAAAACTTATCACACACATTTCAATATTTCACGTGATCATACTTTCGTGTATTGAGTACTTATTGCTATTTATTTATAAATATCAAAAATATTCCACATGTTGCATAAAGAGAGGTATAGTAGTATATGATATAATTCTGTATAAAATATTATTTTATATGTATTTGAAATGGTATACATATTGTGTACTGTGTCAAAATTATTTTTATAATACAAAAGAATAAAATAAGTAAATAAAATACAAAATGCTATACATTTACACTTTAAATCTCCAATCAAGTTTTTTAAATTATCAGTAAAATAATCACTAAAATAGTAAGATAAATGTGCATAAATGTGCATGTAATCATTTCCATAGTAGGTATACTGCTTTGACGTTCTTGTAATATAAAAAACTGAAAGAAAATAATTGGGAAATATTTTTTTAAATTTAATCGCATGCATATAGATCAATACAAATCTGCTTATTGTACAACAGGATATTATCGCATTAGCTATGAAAATAAAAACTTGCACCAAATTGCACATTACTTGAATTCAGAAGAATATGAACATATAAGTGTCATCAATCGTGCTAAAATAATTGATGACGTGTTTCACTTCATGATTGCACGCCAGCTCAATATTTCTATGTTCTGGAAACTGACAACTTACTTACGGCAAGAGACAGATTACGTTGCATGGTATCCTATGATCAAAATGTTTGAATATGTATCGAATGTGATTCCATTTGATACAAACGCAACTGGTTTCAACATTATGGTATAAAGCGTATATATTATTTAATAAAAAACATAACTTATTAACTATTGTCTTTGTATAGACGTGTGTAATTTCAAAATTATTTTTTACTTCTTGTTTTATACATTGTATATTAAACATTTTTTGTACATGGATATTAATTTTATAAAAGATTTGAAAAACATTAAACGCGCGCACAGACATTAGGTACGTTTCTTATAATTTATGTTATTTTAGCAAAATTTGAAAGAATTGTTGGATGGACTTTTTGAAATACTAAAATCTGAAAACTTTATACCGAAGAATGACCTTACTATATGTTTAAGACAAGAAATCCTAAAATGGGCATGTACTTTCCGTCATGGTCCGTGCTTGGAAATGGCCAAAAGAAAGTTACTATCGCATTTCGACAATCCTCTAAGCATGTAAGTATCTGCAGTATACTCATCGCTAATTGAGCACATTTCTTGCAATTCACACCGTGCTAGTTACATTTTCTCACCGAAATACAAACAACAAACAAGATTTTTGTATATACGTTTTTATTTCTTTTTTCAAATTAATAGAGATTCACCAGAGTGGAAAGAATGGATATTTTGTAAAGGTTTATTAGAAGCAAATATATCTGTGTGGAACATCGTAACGCATAAATGGATGGGAGATAAACGATATGAGCTTCTACCATACGTAACTTGTACTCGATATTCTTCTATTCTTTTAGAACACCTTCCGTATATGTTCGATAAATGGAATCTTACGACACATAAAGATACTGCAATTATCCGTTCTTATATAAACATTTTTCATACATTTGTTACAAAGCATGTTAACAACTATTCTATCCTTACGAAGATTTTAGTGAATCTTGAGCGAATAAAACCCAAGTAATTATATTTTTTAATAAATAAACACTGCTTTTTTTAATAGATACATTTTTAATATAATTATAAACATCTCTGTTGCTCTTACAGAAATATCAGTATAATCTTAGCATTAACGGACATCATTAACCATGTATATTCTAAAAAACACCTTGATAAAGTAAGTGAAATAAAACCAAATATATACCACACGCGACGTACGCACACATATACACACACAATCAGAAGAATAAAGAAGAGAACATATGCGTACATATGAGTGTGTTAAGACGTACGTGTGTGTATGTATGTGAGAGGAAGAGAGGCGTGGATGGGAAAGAAATTTTACTTTTTCGTATAAATATATATGAATGTGCATATGGCATGTTCGCAGAAATATCATACGCACGTGCGCGATAGCACATAATTTACGTTAAAAACGTTTTTGTGCAATAATATGTTAAAATTAACTTTTATTGTGAAATAATCGTAAATTATTTAATATGAATGAAAAAAATAAATTTTGTTTCAGATACTCATTTATTTGGAACAACAAAAATACATAACTGATGAACAACAAATTGCAGAAATTCAACGCAAGATACAAATACGTTCGTCTGAAATTAAAGATCAAATAAATCATTTTCAATTTTTAGTTTGATCAATCTAAACTGAAAATTATATATTTATAAATTTTGGTGTATAGTATGTCGAATCATTTGAAAACAATAATGCGGCTAATATATTGATGCCAAATATCTCTTTTAATTTTGAATATTTTTGCTACATTTTTTTTTGTTTATTCTTAATTAGATATTACTTGTGAATGTTACTTATATTTTTTTTATTAGTTTCATTAGTAGTTTTATTAGTTTCATATTATTAATATTACTATTGTTCTTGTATGATTTGATATATTTGGTATATTTCATATTATATTAAGATCGTTAATATTCCAAAACCTACAACGTAAAGAGTGCATGTTATAATTAATAATAAAATTTTATAATAATTCTCTTATGTGTCTTTGTTCTTAAATATCCTTGTCAAATGTATATAATAATCAATCTTTGTTTGCATATATAACAATGGTCCGCGTCATAGAAAA